ATCGCAGTCAATAATTAAATGTGCACATCTCCAGATTCTTCATTAGCATATGCAAATAGACATAAACAAAGAACTGTTGTCTCTGATTCATTTTAGTGGCTTGTCCACTTCATTGTAAACAATCAGTGAATATTTGAGTTGTCTCCAATTCCTTGCTATTACAAACAGAGCTAAAATGAACATTCTTGTAAAAATGCACCTTTGGGCAATTGCGCAAGTTTTTTAGCAAAGCTAATTTCAATGAGTAGATTTTTCTAGTTTAAACTGCATGGACATTTCTGTTTTAATAATGTCTACCAAATTGACCTCCAAATAAACTGCAGAAGATTCCAGTTACTTCACCAATATGGGACGATATTTGGTCTCCTCCCCTCAGTCCCATTAGATGGGAGTTAGCAATGATTTTTCAAATGTGTTCATTTCATAAGTGAAAGCATAGCGTTGTTAATGGAATTTGCATTTGTTTACTATGAGATTAAACATCTTTTTATACCTGGCTTTTGACCACTTGTAATTTTTTTTTCTGTGAATTTAATCATTGTTCTATAAGATCAAATTGTCTTTCTTGATTTGTAAGAGGTTTCTGAAAACTAGAGCAATTAGCTCCTTGGCTCTCATATGTTATGAATTATGGCATTATAATATTGAGTTTTGTCTATGTTTGTCTATAGTTGTATGAAAATTTATGTCTTTTTGTATAAATTTCAAGTTTTTATGTTTGAAATCATCATGTTTATGTTGTTTCCTATATTAATTTTTGGTTTCATGTCACTATGGGAATGGGATTTCCACCCACAGTATGATAAATATACCTGATTATGTTTCACATACTTTTGTGGGTTTTTAAATTATATTTAAATCTTTTATACACCAAGATTTAGGGTAAGCAATAAAACAGGGACCTAACTTTGTTTTTCCAAATGACAAGTTGCTTCTTTCAATACCATTTATTTAATAACCTATCTCTTCCTGCTGAATTGAAATGGAAATTGTCATGTGCTAAGGGATGGATAGAAAGAAAGAAGATAGAAAGATAGATAGATTGTTGACACATAATAGATAGATGTATTTTAGGCTCTAAGTTCTATTCTAATAATGCGTCACCGCATATTTTGTTAGGAATCTTTAGTCTGCTATTTTTCTCCTCTGTGTGCCTGCACACTTTTTTCCCTGTCTGGATGACTCTCCCCACTGTGCCTATCCTCACCTTTCCCGGGTTAGTTATTAGCCCCTCTGGGTCACTTACCTTAATCCCCTGCTCTATGCTAGGCACCCTGCCTTCCACCCACCCTGGGATCTGTCGGGATATACAACACGATATTAACATTGCCTGTTTATGTACATGCCTCTCCACTAAACAAGAAGTCCTTTAGGGTGCCATCTGTCTCTTTCTTCAGCATAGTATCTAAAACATAGTGGATTTTAATTAGCGTTTTCTGAGAAAATGAATCAAACATGAAACGAGCTAGGGTACATCTTGTCTCAACTGGGTTCCGCAAGAGTCCATTCACCAAATAAATCTGACTTTAATTTAGATGCAATCTTGGTTGCACACAGTTTTCCAGGCAGGTGACCCCTCAGAAAACAGCAGTACATGGAAAATTTAAAATAGAGAAAGCGGAGCCACCAGTAAAGGTTGTGTTAAAGAACTGAGGGAAGCTGAGCTTTGATCCAGCTGGGGACTTGTTGAGAAATTCTGGAAGTTACTGCAGAACTGCCCACAACTGCTCCCTCTGCAGAGTCGAGAAATGAGGGCATTTCCACAGACTCCACCAAATCCAAGGTTACGGACTTTCAGGTTGTGTCTCTGTGAGAAAGCCAAGCACACATACGGAAGCAGAAAGGATGTGAGGAGGAGCAGCAGATTGGCGGAGACCCTAAAGTGGGGAACAGTCAGCATACAGGCGAACACAGGGGAGGTCAAGGGCACAGGTACAGCATCTGCTACAGGTGCCCACCAGCCACTTGAATGTGTACAAACTAGGACTGGGTATTAGCTATTTGAGTATTCCTTATGGGAAATGAGGACTGTTTTCTAGGCCCTTCCATGTACGAAAGACCCACTGACAGACCTATTCCTTGATTCAGTGTCATTGTGGACCAAAACAGTCTGCGAAGGGCAGCTGCATGCTTTGTGTGTTCTGTTCTCGATAAGAAATGATTTTCTCATTATACAACATACTTTTGTTCAGACATGAGAGGCTGTAAAATTTGTTCTACTGTGATGATGTCTATTTCAACACCATTGCCTGTGAAGCTTCATAGCCATGGAAATTCATTATGAGGCTCATTATACTGTGTTGCATATCCATTACTATATAACTGGTGATTTGAATGGATTTTTATGAGAATGAGTACCAGCATATATATAACCTTTATTCAGTGCTTGCTTGCTCTGTGGAGAACTCCCCCAGGTCTCTAGACATATGTGGAGTAAGGGCTGCACAGTCTACGGAAACTTATTTACTACTTACCATGTAAATGACACAAAAATTATGTTTTACAAAAATTTACTCTACTTGTTCGAAAGATGCAGACATAAATCTATCCTGAAAAAACTCGGAAGAAGTGGGCTTTGATACAGATGTTCAAGATCACTGAAAATGGACTGATGTTCAGAAACTATGTTTAAATACTTAAAAGCACACAGTATTCAAGAATTGATAGAAAAGGATCAGAACATTGAGAACTGAAAGTCTGCAAGAATACATCAGTGTCATGGAGGATGTTGAAAATGCCTGCCTTCATCACGATACACTATTTCCTCTAACCCGAAACATTTTTTTATCTCTTCTTTATTAATTCCTATTTTCCTTGTAAGATCAGCTAAAGTGTCTCCTCCTGTATTACTTATCAACGACTGGTGTAAATGATTACCTCGAACTTGTTAACTCTAAACAACACAAATGTATTATCTTCTAGTTTCGGAGGCCAGAAGCCAAACATGGGTCCCACTGGGCTAAAATCAAGGTGTCCGCAGGGTTACATCCTCGAGGTCTAGGGAGGAATCCCTTTTCCAACTTTTCCCAACATCTAGAGGCTGCTTGCATTCCTCAGCTGAGGACCCTGCCCATTTACTTTCTTTTGTTGTTGTTGTACCGGGGATCGAACTCGGGACCTTGCACTTGTGAAGCAGGCAGTGGAGCCACTGAGCTAAATCCCCAGAACATCCATTTATTTTCAAAGTGTGGCATCGTCCCTTCTTTCTGATTTCTACTCCTACCCTTCATTTCTCTATCTGGCCCTAACTCTACTGCCTTCCTCTCATTAAGGTCTTCATGATTATACTGAATCTACCAGAATAATCTCCCCATTAGAATTCCTAATTACCTTTGTGAAATCCCTTTTGTCACATAAGGAAAAATGTCCACAAGATCCACAGGTTACAATGTGGACCTCTTTAGAGGACTATTTTTCAGCCTGCTACACCTCCTTTTCTAATTTTTTTTCGTCTTAAATTAGAATTAGTTTCTCTTTCTCTGGGTCAGTGTAAAATGAGTCCCATGTCTCTGAAATGGTAATTGTTAATTTTGGCTAATATTTGTACTCTTACTATTGTTTTCTTGGTGGCAAAATTATGTATTTTATCTATGCAATCACACAGTGCTGAACCTGGACCCATAACTCCATTTGTGTCACTGGTAGGTAAGAGGAGGAAGGCAGAGCCAGATTCCTGGTCCAAATCTCTGCTCTACCACTGATTAGTGAGAAGCTGCCCCAGTTAGGAGTTTCCAGAATTGTAGCATTGTGGCATTCACTACATACACTTACAGTATTAATCAAACATATGGAAATTGCTAAAATTAATATCTGGTGTGTAATACCACTCAAAACTATAAATTTATTATCTTCTCTTGTGAAATTATTATAAATATTAGAGATTGTAGATAAAACCATAGTACAACCACTCAGTAAATTATTGATGAATGCTATCTTTGGCTTTCTAATATGCATTAAATACATTTTTTAAAAGTCAGAGTGAAGAAAATGTTACAAAGGTACGAACCAAGTGAAAAGCACTGACTTTGTGCTGGTAAGCTGAGTTCTTGCAGGCTCTCATGCTTGAGCTCATTATGTCAAAGGGTTAAAAGTATATAAAAGGTCAACGGTGTTTCAGTGGATTTACAGTGGACGCTCGAGTTATGACCTGGCTGACATATATCAGCTTGGATTATAACCAGAATTTTCATTTTAATTTATCAACAAAGTCTTCAGCTACAACCCGAAAGCTGGCCATTCGTGCTTCCAAATGGTCTCAGATACAGATTTAACCCTTAAAGTGTTCCAGAAGGAGCATGACAGCACCCTTTCCTGAGGGGTTAACTGAGAAATCCTGGGCCAGTGTCTCTGTAGGGACCCTGAGATCTGCCTGTGTGCAGAAGAGAGGCTTTGAAGGCTGTGTGACGGAGCCTGAGCCTTCCACTGGCCAACTTGTTACACCAATCCTCATGAATGAATTGAGTTTGTAAGCCAAGGGTCCACTGTATTTTATTGGTTGTAATAACGAAATAATATTTAAAACTGCAGTCTTATTAATATTGCAAAGAATTTCCTGATATTATCTCATGATATTAACTAGCAATCTAATGCTGTTTTATTACTTACACCTCCCAGATTATTAGCATCCTTGTCACACAATGGTATTTTAGTTTTTTTATTTCCTAAGATGTTCAACCACTACCAATTGTTTCCCAGGCAAATTGAGCTTTTTCTACTTAAAAGATTATAGTAAATAGAATAGAAACTTGTATGATCATCTTCCTCTCTCATAAGTGAGGCAACAACAGAGCGGTACAGCATATCAGCTGTTCTAAGTTCCTCAATAAGTTTTACTTTTGCAAAACCCACCCTTTAACTTCCTATATTCTGTGAGCTGCATTATGAACAACATGACTGGCAGCCACGTTTGCTGTAATTTTTTAAACATGTGGAAAAAAAGCAAGATATCGACCATGTATTACCTTAACCAAGATGCCAAATTATCTAACTTGTTTCTCCAGGCCAGCAGCCCCACCACAGGGACAGCTCCCAGGAGCCAGTCAAGGTTGTCTGTCTGTCCATCCACTCAGGACATCTGCAGGTAAGTGCTGAGTAAATGATCCTATCCAGTATTCCTTAGACCAGTGTTTTGTATTTTTGAGTTATGTTCCAAGAATGTGTGGCTTGTGCTTTTGCTTTACATTTCCTGTGGACAATTTATACTTGGCTCGGTTGTGTTTCCCTTTAGTTCATTTTCTTCCGTTGATCTTTGTTTACCAACTCCTGGCCATGCTATCATTTTCATCATTCTGTCTCTCCCTGTCTTTCCGTGACTTTCCTCTCCATTCCCATTTCCCATCCTTGCCTGCTGCTTTGTCTAGACCTTCCATCTCGCATGACAGGTCAGAAGATGTATTTGAGCACTGTACTCCTGTCATGGTGCTGAGCCCTGCTAAGAATTCTGGTAAGAAATCAGTAAAACAGAAGCCTAGGAGGAGGAGGAGGAGGAAGAGGAGGAGGAGGAGGGCCTCTACGAGGTATGAGCATGCAGAAGAGCAGAGAAAGGGGAGAAAAAATGACTTCCCACTCCAGATATCAAGCCCCAGAGGGAGGGAACTTTACACCGATTCTTCAGATTCATCTTGCACCGAAGAGGGTCACTGGATTCAGGCCAAAAGAAGAGCTCAGGTTAAATTCAGACTGTCGAGAAGAAGGAGAAACAATAACAAATCATGTGGAAGTTTGGCTGAGTCTTCCACTCCAAAAGGAATTGAGCTTATTGATTTGGGATCCAAAGGTGAGCAGCAACAGGAGCTGATGGAATGTGAGAGTTGTTCTTTAAACTTCCGCAGAGGAAAAGTCATAAGGTACCAAGAATGTGCTGTTTCTCTGCCAAGAAAATCCTTTGAGGTGAAGAGACCCTCAAGCAATCAAGAGGGAAGCAAAGGTAGATTTTTCCCCCAAGACTCTCAGCTCTTGCCCAGTCTCAGGCAAAATGAAACAGTACAGAAAAGACTTTCAGAGATGAATTTCAACATGGACATACTGGCAGTCACAGAAGGTGGCAAGTATTTGGACGATTCTGGGCCCCGGGTGCATAGCTCGGTTCCAAAGCCTCCTGCTGCCTATGATGATGGGCCTGATCATGTAGCAGCCTGCAGGTTAGTCACTACAGAGAAAGGCTTGATGTCAGACAGACGTGTTTCTTCCTGCTGTGAGTTATATGTGTGTGTTTGGCCTACCCTCAAAACATAACATGTATTCATACTGCTGTTTTTCTGATTGAGTATGAGAAAAATACTGCAGAGTGTTCATGACTTTGATGGCTGTTGCAGAATAGAATTAGACTTCTTCCTCTGTCTGTTGAGATGAATAATGATTTATGCTGGCAAAGGGACTGACAAGACAGTTGAGTCTTGTACACATTCTACTTCAGAAAATAGTAGTGGAGAAAACATGAGTGAGAGTATGTGAAACCTTAGACTGTTTAATGCAAATTTAGTGAATGGTTAACATCCTGACAGAGAGCTGTTCAAGGCTGACCGGGATCTTTAAGGTCAGATTTTTGTATCCCCCAAAATTCTCTAAAGTTGGCTATAATTTATTCTCCAGTTGTCTGGCACAGCAGGGTCATTCAAGGCTGAAAGGACACAAAAACAGGTTATGGTTATATCAGCCTTTAGGGAAGGAGACCCATTAACTATATTGATCATCATGCGCTAAAAACTTCAGCATGTAGACATTTCATAACCAAGAGATCAGTTTCTTAAAATTTTTACACAAAATTATATATTTTCAAAGTGATGTTAAAAAGTATTGTAGGAGCATTTATCCTCATAGAAATAAATGAGGCAGGTATAAACAAACTGTATTTTAAATTTTTCATGTTATTCCCAATTACCTAAGCTTTTTGAAGTCTATTTGAGAACAAGTGCATATTTGTGTTGCGCAATGCTTGATTGTTTGGATTTGTTTTTATAAAAGTTGAAGTTACTTGGTGAAAAAAGTCTGTGAGTTTCGTGTGAATCACATGACCTAGAGAAGGAAGGCGTCCTTGTGCGCTGCAGACAGGAGCAAGAAGAGGAATTGAGGTCTGGGTGTGACAGCATTGAAATGGTTTATTTCTCTGGAAGTTTTAAACGATAGTCATGCACAAAATTCTTAGCCATTTCTTCTGCCAAGCATCTATTATACATCAGGCTTCATTCTAGGCACTGAGAATATTGAAGTATATAATATCTGGATAGTTTCAGACATGAGAGAGCTTATAGTCTGATGGGGAACACAAACACAAAATTGTTTTACAATTAATGTATGTTGATGATCATGGCAGTGCAATTCGGGAGTGCACTGCAAAGAAAGCTAACATTCTGGAAATCAGGGAGGAAGTCTTCTGAGGAGGTAACAAGCAGACTGATGCTCAAAGGATGACAGAAAATGGTCAAGGAAAGAAGCAGGAAAACCAGTTATAATCTTTTGAACAGGACTTGTGTGTCGTTATATGAATGAGATATTTTTTCTAGTTTGAGCTCTCCGCTTGTAGCCATGTAATGTCATTTGCCATCTACTCCTAACATTATTTAATAAAAGACCACCAAAGGTGCAGCTTTACATTTAATGGTAATTGGGGAGCAGTGATACTTATAATGAAAGTCATAGCAAACAGTTCTCCTAACTTACAAGTACTACTCAGGAGGAACATTTCCAAAGACTGACTGACTATTTAACTTTGATTTCTATGAATGCAAATGGAATCAATGGCCCTATTGCTTTTATTTTCTTCTGTGGATTATGATCAAAATATAACAACTAAGTGGATGCTATCAGAAGCACATTATACTAAATGCTAAACATAAAATTGGGAAAACTCTTGATTTCTTTTTCTTTCAGTGGCCTATTATCTAAGTGGGAGAAATTAAATGCACCACTGAAAAGACAAAAGTTTAAGATAGGAATGAAAGAAGAGGAATGAAGCAGGGACCACAAAAAACAAGAAAATTGGTGCCGATCTAATATGATACAGGAACCCCTTGGGAAGATGTAAGATGAGGGCTGAGAAAAGAAGTCCTCTGAATTCACAGAGATGGATGGCATTCTAGGCACTGAACTCAGGGAGAACACTGTCAGCTCTGACAGGCAGAGGAGAGACTGTCTGAGCATGCAAGAACAGTTTGTGAATTTGTGCAGTGAACTTGGAAGCTTTACATTTGCTGATAACAACTAATTTTTGAGGCATCTGGAAGAAAACATTATACCATTCCAAGTTGCTCAACTCTCATCTCTAAATTCGTGTTGACATATAGTCTCAATGAACTGCTTGCGTTCCAAATGTTTGCCATAGAAGCTGAGGGCCACTCGGAAAGATTGTGCTCCTTTCTGCCCACCTTGACTCAGTGAATATATATGATTGCCTCTCTTATCCACCAAGGTCTTGCATGATATTCCTTTAAGAACTCAATGGGCTCCCCTGGCGGCGGGGAAGATGACATATTTTAAAAGCCTTTATTGAATAAAGTAAATCTAACAAAGAGTCATATACAGAGAAGTCATAGGGCTCCTGGGGATTTGCTGAGAAAGAAACCTAAATTTGGGAGTTGTGGGTGGAAGCGTCCTCCCATGCATTAAGCAGGATGCCTGATAACAGGTAATGGAAGAACAGAACAAAGGGCATATTGGCATCCCACCAAGTAAAATAGGAACAGTCTCTGGCTGGATTTGCTCCAAGCATAAGACACAGGTGTCAAGGCAGATTCCAAACCTTGAAACTTGGGAGTCAGGGGATGCTGATGCTACTGACAGACACAGGGAGATTTCAGAGGGCTGCTGACTGAAGGAGGGGTGGTGAGTGTAACTGTAAGCAGGCTGCTTGTGATTACACTGGTGTCCTGGTGTGAGCTGTCCAGCAGACAACAGGTGGTATGTTGCCGAGCACAGGAGAGCACTCAGAGCCAAGTATGTATAATTCTCGGTGAACCACACACAGTGTGTATCGTTTTATATGCTAACACAGCCGAGCACAAGAGCACTCAGAGCCAAGTATGTATAATTCTCGGTGAACCACACACAGTGTGTATCGTTTTATATGCTAACACAAGGCATTCACACAGAGTAGAGCTGGTAAGCACCGGAAATCCTCTCAAGGTCAGGCAGAACAGAGAGATTTGCTAATCGTGCTCAAAGAGGTAATGGTGACACTGGAAAAGTAAATTCAGTCTCTACACGATATCCTAAGTGGGAGAAAAGCCACCTAAATTGCTGCAGTGCAGAAACCAGAGTCCCCCATATGGGGAGAAAGACGACCCTGAGAGAGGCAGCAGTTGCCTGTGAACTTGCACTCCTAAGGCTGCAGACGTGCACAGGCAGGGCCAGTCTCAGCCACAACCACAAAGCAGAAGAGGCTCTTAAGCCCTTCCTCCTTTTCTGTTCCTGGCATTTAGTCCCCACATGAGCACTATATCCTCTTTCGCACCCTCATCTCAGCCTTATTCAGAAACAGGTCTGTATGAGTCAATTATAACTTGGGCTTTAAGTTGCCACTCCTTGTAGCCCCAGTTATGTGTAGCAGTAAAGTCTCTACTTTTTTTAACAGAAAAAATATTTTCAAAAGAAAATTGGAATTAGATCATGTTAGCCCTTCCCTGAAATTTTTCAGGAAGCTCTCAGTTGCCCTCAGTGAAAGGCTCACAATCTCTAATATGATTTACAAATCCTGCATGGTCTCTCTGTCAGATCTGGTTCTCTCGCTTCAACACCCTTCATCAACTACCTCCTGTTCATGCTGGTCTACATCCAGTTCCCTGAAAGTGTCCTGGTCTCTTCCTTTCATGACCTAGATTGACATCAAATTGTCCCTTCTGATCCTCCCCAGACTACTTCCTAGTTGCTCCTTTTCAGTTTAAGTACCATTTCTTTTGGGAGACCTTCTTGACCCCCTGACTAACACTCGGCCCCTTAAGAAGTCTCTTCCTTAGCACTTTTTTTTTTTTTTTTTTTTTTGGTACCAGGGACTGAACTTGGCCCTAGCACAATGTTCAATTGCTAAAATACAACTGCTTTTTCCTATTAACTATCAGATTTGTTCACTGCCATATGTGAAACAAC